TCCCTCAAATAGGATCCTGGTGGGGAAAAGGCAGGTTAACAATTTGAAGTTGGTTCTAGAGACCCAGGGTCAAGATCTAGACATCTGAGGATACTTAAAGAAGAATCAGACTCCAGTGTCAGGTGACCTCAGAGTGACAGCCCTGACTTTCTGAATGATCTGTAGTTAAAAGCAGAGTGGACATGAAGGGTAGGAGAGAGAAAATCAATGTCCCACTGTTGAGAAATGCTAAAGCCAGGGATGGCTTTTTAAAAAGGGACAGCCCAGAAGAGCGCAGACTTGGAATTCAGAAATTCCTAGGCTGGAATCCAGACACTGCCGCTTGTCAGCTTATGGCCTTGGGCAAGTCACTTGCCCCTCTGCACCTGTTTTCTCTTCTTTATAATGGAGAGAATAAGATTTTCCTGCTAAGGGTTAGGAGGGTTCCATCGCATAAGATATATCAAGTGTTTACACAAAGCCTAGCACTTGCTAAATATCAAAGATATCAGACTGACTTTTGCAAACTGGGTGACCTGCATCAAGCAGGTTCAGTCCTCTAAGCCTTGAGTTTCCTCATCTGTAAAAATGGGAAGCCCCATACGACCAGGGTGAGTGGGAGAGTTCATTGAGACCACGTGTGTGAACAGCTCAGCCTACTTTCCAGCACATACCACGCAATCAGTACATGGTAGCAATAATGATCACAACGATATCAAATAATTTTTTAAGACAATATTTCACTCTGTCAACCAGGCTAGAGTGTGGTGGCATGATCATGGCTCACTACAGCCTCAACTGCCTAGGCTCAAGCAACTCTTCCATATCAGCCTCCTAAGTAGCTGGGACTACAGGCGTGTGCCACCACACATAGCCAATTTTTAAAAAAATTATTTGTAGCGATGGGGTCTCACTATATTGCTCAGGCTGGTCTCAAATTCCTGGGCTCAAGGGATCCTCCTGCCTTGGCCTCTTAAAGTGTTGGGATTACAGGTGCCAGCTACTGCACCTGGCCAACATTATAGTAATGTAAGCATCTATTCATAATAGTATCATTATTATTGGAAGAAGCACAGGCTTTGGAGACAGAAAACTGGCTTTGATCTCACTCTCCTGTTTGCCAGCTCTGTAACACTGGAAGCCAGCAAGGCTTCCCAAGCCGCCTCAGTTTTCTCATCTGTGAGATGAAGGTACCCATAGCATCTACTGCCTATGGCTGCTATGAAGACTGAACGGATCCAGAGCTCCCAGCATGGAGCCCGACATCAGCAGGAACTCAGAAAATGCAAGTGGAGTGGAAAGAGAGAGAGGGAAAGCAGCATGTCATTGCCCAGTGAACTAAGTTAGCATCCAGCTAACTGAGTTTTCTAGTTAAGTGAGGGTTCATCCACAGTACTTGGGACTTCCTGCCTCATTGCCATAAACCTTTAGCTCAAATGCTCACCTCCCAAGAGGGTGTACTGGCTCATGCCTGTAATCCCAGCACTTTGGGAGACTGAGGCAAGCAGATCACTTGAGGTCAAGAATTCCAGACCAGCCTGGCCAACATGGTGAAACCCCATCTCTACTAAAAATACAAAAATTAGCTGGGTGTGGTGGTGCACACCTATAATTCAGGCTACTCAGAAGGCTGAGGCAGGAGAATCACTTAAATCCAGGAGCTGCAGGTTGCAGTGAGCCAAGATCGCACCACTGCACTCCAGCCTGAGTGACAAAGCAAAACTAGGTGTCACACACACACACACACACACACTTCCCTCCCTCCCCTCACCTTGTATGGCACGTTCTATGAACATCGCCCTCTGGGTGACCTTACAGGGCATCCCTCTCCGCACCCCAGGCCACAAGATGGAAGAGTGTCCAGTGTTTCTCTACAGGGCACTAGTAGCATTTGGGATGTGGCACGTGCTTGTTTAGGTGGTGAAGAACTCTCCTATACAAAACAGGCATGCACATTTCTGCCCTCAGCCCTTCAAGTGCCAGTGGCCTCAAACCACTGGGGCCATCAAAGGTGTTCCCACACTCTTTGAATGTTCCCAGGGTAGTAGGCAAAAGAGTCACTGCATAGTCTAACTCCTAGTCCTCATTTATATGTGGGGACACTGAGGCCTGGAGGGACCATGCAGCAGATCAGCAGCACCGTGGCACCATCACCACTACCACCGTCATTTGTCTCACCAGGATAAAGCCAGAGACCCAGAAAGCTAAAATAGCAGGAGTCTGGGGCATACCCTGGAAATCAGCCATTTAATCAAATTCCTAATGTCCTCTTCGTTTTCTTGACTTGCCACTGCAATGAGCAACTTAAGGCTACCAGGCGCCTGAAGAAAGAATCACTAGGGTGCCTTTGGTGGCTAAAATAAAAAATTATCATTCATCAACACCCTACCCCCACCCTTCTGCTCAGGGAGTTATTCCATATCCTCTTCTCTGTACATAAATATAAATATATATGTGTATGCTAAAAAGCACTTTTATACTCTAGATAGACCCAGACAGTGCTATAGAGAGACATATGGTTTTTGCAACTTGCTTTGTTTTTTTCCAAGGGCTAGCTAATATCTTGATTCTGAGATGAGCCTCAGTAAGTTTCTGCAAATGATGGGTCCTTAGATTTGTCTTGCAACATCTTCTCTCGAAGCCCTGTTTCTCTCATCTGTAAAATGAGAGTTTACAATGAACCTTGTGGGATTTTCAAGAAGGTGACGTGAGCTGATGTTTCTGAAGTGCTCAGCAGAGCAGATGACACATAATAGGGACTCAATAAATGGGGCCCATTCTTGGGCTGGTGGTTTTGATCACTCTGTGTTAGCAATGCCCTTTGTTTCATGTGGATGGCTATGCTTCTGGAAGGGTATGTACAACTCAGAATTTGAGAAATAACTGAACCCAATTTTAAATGTATATCACAAGCCTTTCAAAAGATTTAACAGTGGCCACTTTAAAAAAATTGTTTTAATAAAGATGGAGTCTCACTGCGTTGGCCAGGTTGGTCTTGAACACCTGGCCTCAACAATCTCCCTGCCTTGGCTTCACTTTTTAAAATTTGTCTTTATTACATAAAATACATATTCATTGTAGAAAAAAGAAAAGAGTTTTACAAAGAGATGTAAATAAAAATTACCTATATTCCTATTGGATTGGTCAGAGTTCTCCAGGGAAACAGAACGAACAGGATTGAAACCAATAGAATACGTGAATAGATATACTGAGACATTTATTTTAAGGAAACTGGCTCACACGATTGTGGGAGCTGGCAAGTCCGAAATTCGTGTGGCGGGCTAGCAGACTGGAAACTCAGGCAGGAGTTAATGCTGCGGTCCTGAGACGGAATTCCTTCTTCTCCAGGAAGCCTTAAGATTGCTTTTAAGACCCTCAACTGATTGGACGAGGCTCACCCACATTATCAAGGGTAATTTCCTCTACTTAAGTTCAACTAATAGTAGATGTCAATCACATGTATAAAATACCGTCAGAGCAACATCTAGACCAATGTTTCACCAAACAACTGGGCACCATGACCTAGCTAAATTGACACATAACATTTATCCATCACACCTACTGTCCAGGGACATCATGGTTATTAACATGCTGGTACAATCTCTAGAGGTTAATTGTTTTTACAAAATTGGTATTTTATAACGTGTAGAATTTGATATTCTGTTTTTATTTAACTTCATCTCTTAAAAACATCTTCATCTGGCTAAAATATCCTTTAACACCATTTCTTTCAATGGAATTCCACTTTCAATACAATTCCATTGTGTGCTGTCATTCCAGACATTCCTAGCCCAATTATCTCATTGCTGGACACCTAGGTTGTTTCTACTGCTTCACTTGTTAATTTTTAAAATGCTGCAGTGAACATCCTCATTGATAAACCTCTTTGTACATCTGCAGTGGATGCTATAGGTGCCCACCAGAGTCCTTTTTACTGTGGTGACTATTGGTGGCAATCAATGGCTCACATCGGCCCCCTTCTCTGAAAAATAGCCTTGGGCCCATCAGGAGCAAGCGGCCCCTCCCAGGAAGTTATGCTCCACCCTGGGGGACAGCCCACAGCTAAAAGCTGACTCATCTTGGAGGCTAGGATGGACAAGGCCAATGCAAGCCAGCCTCCTTTCCGTAAGGTAGAGCCAGCTCTGCAGTGCAGTTTCCCACCCAAAGCACCCTCCTGATTCCCACTGTGAGACCAGGATGGAGGTGGGACCCAGCTGAGGTCACATCCTCAGTTAGCTCTGTCATGCCCTGCCTCTCCGATTGCTTTATCTGAGAGCACGCCTTCAATAAAACATTTGTCTCAGGCTCTGCTTCAGTAGCCCCAGCCTAAGATAGCATCTCTGAATATTTTCTTAAGGGATGACTTCGATTGAAGATTTGACAGTGGGCTCCAAATTTTTTATTGTGTAGCTGCACTATTTCTGGGTTACATTTTCTTAAAGGGAGTCCCTCTGACATGTCAGTCCCTTGCAGCTTGTCATGGTGCTCAATACTGGGTAGGTAGGGATTCCTGAGGCCCAAGACTTTTCCCCTAAAGCCCAGGGCAATAAGAGGGAGAGGAGAACCCTGGTAGTAGTGAGTAATGACAAGACAACCCCAGACCCCTTGCTTCCCTTAGTCCTCAAACACTCAGTCCTGATGAGATTACAACAATTCTCCATGCACTTAATCACTTTCCTGGATGGGGCATTGCCATGGTTGGGGATGAGGAAGTAAGGCATGGGAGTCTGACTAAAAAAGGGGGCTAGCGTGGCCCAGGAAGAACCTCATCTCAGCGACCTGGGTTGTTGACAAAGGGGCCAGGGTTGAGGAGAACATTCTTTGATGTATCAAGCTCATTGACTATAAGCAGACATATTCAAGAACAGAAAACATGGCCACTCTTTCCATCTCTGCTTTGACTCGCTCTGTGACCTGAGGCCAGACTCTTGCCTTCTCTGGGCTTTCTCCAGAAAGTGGTTTTCTACATCAGATCTGACTCCTTGTATATCTGACTGGTCCTCTTCTCTCTGGCTCTTCAGATGGAAGTGCAGTGTTCCGGGGCTGCTTTCGCAGGCCTGACAACCTTTCCCTGGCCTTACCTGTGACAGCTGCCATGCTGAACATGTCCGTGGACAAGTGCGTGGACTTCTGCACAGAGAAGGTGAGCCCAAGGTGGGGACCACAGAACTCGGGAGGAGGCGATGGTGCAGGACAGCTGAAGGAACCACATGCTTGGCTGGAGATGCAACAGCTCAGTCAGGACAGATGCAGTCGTTGACTGGGGTCTATGACATGGGAAAAGGATGTGACTGTTTCATGTGGACCTGAGGGGTTGCAGCTGCACAGAATAGATTTTCCTGCCTTTGAGGAAGTGAGTTTTAATACTGAGGAATACTTAGGAATGAGTGTGTATTAGTCCATTTTCACACTGCTATGAAGAAATACCCCAGATTTGGTAATTTATTAAAAAAAAAAAAAGACGTTTAATGCACTCACAGTTTCACATGGCTGAGGAGGCCTCTCAATCATGGTGAAGCCAAAGGAGGAGCAAAGGCACATCTTACATGGCGGCAGGCAAGAAAGCATGTGCAAGGGAACTGCCCTTTTTAAAGACATCAGATCTTGTGAGACTTATTCACTATCATGAGAACAACATGGGAAAAACACACCCCCCTGATTCAGTTACCTCCCACCAGGTCCCTCCCATGGGGATTATGGGAGCTACAATTCAAGCTGAGATTTGGATGGGGACACAGCCAAATCATATCAGGTGGAGACATTTGAACTGAGCATAGAAGCATTAAAAAAAAAATGCCAGGTAAAGGTAAGGACAGCCCCACACTGGGGCAGAGGAAGGTCCCCATTGCTGGAGGTGTGCGAGCAGAGACGTCATCCAGAGCTTTGGGCACTGGATAGCACTTGGGCTGGATGATCTTTATATTGATGTAAGATGCTAGATGTCTGACTGTTTGTGCTTCTTCCCTAGCCAGACTGTGAACTCCTGGAGGGTAGGGGCTGTACCTCGTACATTTTGTGCCCCACTTGGATACCCCCAGCACAGAACTGGGCACATAACCGGCACTCAGCGATGTCCAAGGAGCTCCAGCTTTTTCTCAAAATGATCTAATTACTAAAGTGTCCGGAGGAGAACCATCCCTCCTCCACCACAAAAAGATGGTTGAGCATTTCATTCCTTCTAGAGAGTAGCTGAGGGTAGAGAGGTATAAATGCTTAAACACTGAGATGAAGCTTTCTCCTGCAAGACTTGAAAAAGAAATCCCTTTCTCACAGTCATGCGATACACCACAGAAAATGCCCCCTTGGTGTGATGGTGATATGGGACCCATGCTTTGGGAAAATCTGTCTGAAACTGTTCTCAGACTCTGAGTCACACACATCCACTGGCCAGTGGATCCAGCCACGCCAGTGTGACCCTGGTTTGCCACCAGATTAGTCCTGGACCAGCTACCAGGGAGAACTAGAGGTGGTGGGTTCAGTTTAGAAGCAGAATGGGCAAAAGACAGGCCCTTGCCCACCAGATCTCAGGTTCAGCCTGCCCCCACTTAGCTGTTCATTAGAACAAATAAAGCAATCAGAAACACATCTACCAACAAAGACTCAGTACACAGAGGTATCAATATCTCCTTTGGCTTAAAAGAACAAACTCAGAAAGCTTTTCCCAAAGCATGGGTCCCGTACCACCATCACACCAAATCTGCAAATATTTAATAAGACCCTACTGTACGTCAGGACTCCTGTTTAGTGCTGGGGATGCAAAGTAACAAGACACAATCTCTATCCTCAAGGATGCAGGCATTCGCTGGGCATCTGCATTGTGGTACCTCCTGGGTGCTCAGACCACACCCTGAGTCCTGGATGCCCCATCTGCTTTGAATCATCCTGCTTGGCTATTTCTCTTCATGCACTGGGCTGCTAAGGCATGAAGCATTTCTCTGGAAATCTAAAAGGCTGCAGCATCACAGCAGTGGCTGCTTGCTGAGAGAACATCCTCCATGCAGCCCTGTGCACCATGGATCACACAGTTTACTTCTCAGGCCAAGCCCATGAGTTTGACATTTTCAGTCCCATTTCACAGATGAGAAAAATCAAGATTCACACAGGTGAAGTCATTTGCCTAAGTTCTCAGCACAAGTGAGTGGCAGAGCTGGAGTTGACACTGGGGACTGACTCCAAATTCAAGCTCTTAAACTTCTGAGTCACCCTGGCGACCCCACCAGAGAGGCTTCCCAGAGCCATTCAAGAGGACCAGGCAACCTCAAATCACCAAGTTTTTCTTAAGGGCTTGCTGTGCTCCTAAAAGGCATCCTGGTTCCAGGTCTTTGCTATCGTACACAGGGCTGCAATGAACATACGTGTGCGTGTGTCTTTACAGTAGAACGATTTATAGTTCTTCGGGTATATACCCAGTAATGGGATTGCTGGGTCTCTGGGGGAGGAGCATTACACACTGGGGGCAGTTCGGGGGGATGGGTAGGGGAGAGACAGCGGGGGGTGGGGAGGGAGGGGAGGGTGAGGAGGGATAACATGGGGAGAAATGCTATAGTATGCACCTAAAGTAAAAATAAATAAATTTATATATATATATATTTTTAAGGCAACCTGGAAGATGGGAGGTGATGTTTGTGAGATTAAAGGAGGCTTGGCTATCATTTGGTCCAGCTCTCTCCCCTTAGCAGGACTCCCTCCACCCACACTGCAGTCCCTCACTTCCAGAGGGCCCTGGGGGAACCTATCGATCCCCTGGAAGTTGGGGGGCAAACAGGGGTGGGACAGGGAGTTCATGAGGCAAATTAGTGTAGCAAAGTGACAAACTACACAGGCCTGCAGAGAAGTGAGGGTGTGTATGTGTGAACAAGAAGTCCTCCTGCAAACCTTCCTCTTCCTGTTTTCTCTGATCTCCTTAGGAGGCAAACGAGAGAAACTAAGGGGATCAAGTGGACCAGGATACAGAGCTGCTTGTGTCAAGTGATAGAGGGTCTGAGGTTTAGGGTGTCAGAGGAGGCTTCAGCATTCTTATTAGTTAGAAAATGTCATCACTCATGGCCCAAGCTGACCCTCTAGCACATCAATACTTCTGCTCTTCAGCTGGGCACCGCAGTTCCCATTTAATATCTTTTAGGAAATAAACCAAAGCTACCATGACAAAGCTGACTGGATCCAGCCACACAGGTGTGACCCTGGTTTGCCACCAGATTAGTCCCAGACCAGCTACCAGGGAGAACTAGGGTGGTATGTCCAGTTTACAAGCAAATTGGGCAAAAGACAGACCCTTGGCCACCAGATCTCAGGTCCAGCCTGCCCCCACTTAGCTGTTCAATAGAACAAATAAAGCAATCAGAAACGGCTCTCCCAACAAAGACTCTGGGTACACAGAGGTTGCAGTATCTCCTTTGGCTTAAAAGAGCAGACTCAGACAGCTTTTCCAAAAGCGTGGGTCCCATATCACTGTCTCACCAAGGGGGAATTTACTGTGGTGTATCGCATGACCATGAGAAAGGGATTTCTTTTTCAGTTCTCTTTCAATTCTTCCAAGAGAAAGCTTCATCTCAGTGTTTAAGCATCAACCACCTCTCACCCTCAACTACTCTCTATGCAGGAAAAATGGAGCCAACACCAGGCTCAGAGTTTTGGCTGGCCAGAGTGCCTAGGTAGAATTTCATCACTTGTTTTGTTTCTATAGTATGTGCATTTACAGTACGGAGATGTATGGAAGTGCTACTTGTCCACAATTACTATTCGTGGTAGCAATATGAAGTATCCTTTGAAATTTAAGTTACAAAATGTGAATTGACTTAAAGGAAACAAATAAGTAAACAGTAGTACAGAAGGTGCACAGATGGGGCAAAATCATAAAAGCAGGGTTTGGGGATGGAATCTGGGGACTCTCAAGTTGAGGGAGAGTGACAGAGAAGGCAGTGGTTGGAATGCAAATCCTGTTCTCCATTTGGAGTCTGAAGCTGTCCAGGAATTTAGCAACTCTCTTCCTCTTCTTCTCCCACTCCATCCCCAGGAGTACCCGCTGGCAGCTCTTGCAGGCAACGCCTGCCACTGTGGGTTTCCCACCACCCGATTCCCACTCCATGACAGAGAGGACGAGCAGCTCTGTGCCCAGAAGTGCAGCGCGGAGGAGTTTGAGAGCTGCGGGACTCCTAGTTACTTCATTGTGTACCAGACACAAGTCCAAGGTGAGCCAGGCCCTTCCCCAGGGGACCCCAGATGCACTCCCAGTGGCTTCCTTCCCAGACATGTCCCCGCCAGTCCATTCCACACAGCCCACAGCAAGGAGAGAACCATGCAAGCCAGAGGGCAGAGGGCAGGGCTGGTGAACTCCACCAGGTGTAGAGTTCCTGGATAGGCAACAGGAGTGCCCAGGGTGGGGAGGGTTCTGATGACCCATCTCTATCCCTAATCACCGAGGACCCTTGGTAGCTCCTGTAGTGAGACTGAATGAGAAGAGAGACTAAGCCTCCCACTGGCTGCAACACAGATCCGGACAAGGCATTTCCCCTTCCCAAGCCTCCATTTTTCCATCTATAAAATGAAGCTGTAGACTGCTGGCTTCCAAGATTCCTTCCAATGCTAAAATGTTGTAAATTTATCTATAAGTTCTTCTTTCTCTCCCTTCTTCTCTCTGTCTCACTCACCCTTTCCACTTCTAGTCTTCTTCCTTAGCTAGTGGAATTCACACTTACTATTATCTCCTCTGCTGTCTCTTGGGGCTATCAGACATGATGATAATGATGGTGATGATGATAATGATAATGATGATGGTGATGATGATAATGATGGTGATGATCATGATGATAATGATGATGGTGATGACGGTGATGGTGATAATGATGATGATAATGATTACAATGATGGTGACGATGATGATGATGGTGATGGTGATAGTGATGATGATAATGATTACAATGATGGTGACGATGATGATGATGGTGATGGTGATAGTGATGATGATAATGATTACAATCATGGTGACGATGATGATGATGGTGATGATGGTGGTGGTGATAATGATGATGATAATGATTACGATGATGATGATGATGGTGGTGATGATGATGGTGATAATTATGATGGTAGTGATGATAATGATTATGATGATGGTGATGAGGATGATGGTGATGATTATGATAATGGTGATGATAGTGATAATAGTGATGCTGATAGTGCTGATGATGGTGATGATGATGGTGATGAGAAGGAGGAAGAGGAGGAGGCAGCAACACTTGGGGTTTCTCAATGTCTGGTCTTACTCTGTGCCAGACTCAGTGTTACGTCCTTCATATGCATTTTTTCATTGAATCCCCTCAACTCTTTGTAAGTTGGAAACAGTCATTGTGCCCTCTTTACTGTGAGGGGGTGGGATTGAGACTCAGAACAGTTGAGGAGCTTACCTTAAGTCATAGTGTTTATAAACTTTCCCAATAAAAACCATTTCTCTTGACAAGGTATCATGAAGGGTGGGTGGCACTTGGGTGGGGATTGGAGGCATCCCTTGCCAGGACACTCAGCCCAAAGGAAGTCCCTGAAGGATCACTCCAATGTCTGAATATATTGGCCATCTACTATATACCAGTCCTTATGCCAAGCCTCATCTCATTTAGTGATGTGAAGTCCACAGTAAACCTATGATCAGGGCAGTGTCATCCCCACTTTACAGACAACAGAACTAAGATTCAGAGAGATTGGGAACTGGCCACAATTATACATCTACAAAAGCAATTTGTTTTCAGGTGTCTGACTCCAAAGCCCCTGCTAGAAACCTTTGCCCATGCTCCGGTGACACTCCCCACGGTCTGGAGAGCCAAGAAAGCACCATTGGGCTAGACTTCCTCCTCGCCATTTCCCAGTCACCAAGCTGCCATATGTGGTTGAGCAGGTTGAGCACTGCGCTGGCACAGTCTACAGAAAAAGTGGTTCCTGAAAGCTAGCCACGTTGTGTGCCCTGGATGGCAGAACATCTGTCCAGAGGAAGAAGTAGGCACCTTTTTCTGATCTGCACAAAAGTTCTGTAAGAGCTAGTGGCAGCCTCACCAATAGCCTGTCCCTGTTTGACAGATGGGGTACCAGTAGTGATCAACTGTGGCTGTTTGTGTGGTAGCTAATGTCCTTCTGAGAGCCTAGTGAGCATGTGGCTCTTGGCCCTATTTACAGTCAGATGGGGAAGGATGGGTCTTTGTTAGCTTACGGAAAAGTGTTGGCTAGTTTGTGCAGAGCTGTGCTGCCTCAGCCTGCAGGGGAAAGTCATACACAGATTAATTACTCTGTGATCATGAATGGCTTTGAGGTGGCCAGAACAGACACTGGAGCCTTTTCAACAGCAGATAACGATTCCCTAATTGATGAGTTTGCTCATTCTCAGTGCCCTACCCCCAGGCCATTATTAGGGCTTGCATTTTTCCACGTCAGTCTTGCAGTTTCTACACACTGAGGAGGTTTGACAGTTATGTGGCTCATCAGCCTGCCAAGAGCCTGGCCCACCAGGGCTGCCATTTATTGAGCACCTACTGTGTGCTAAGCACTGATGCTCCTTATGGGAACTAAATAATTATTGAACACTTGCTCTGTGCCAGACTCTGTCAAGTCTTTTACCTGCCTTAAATCATCTAATCATCCAAACAGCCCAGCTGCATAAGCACTGTTATTACCATTTTACAAATGAAGTAACTTGGCGCAGGGAGGCTGAGCAACTTGGCCAGAGTCACACAGCTCAGACAGGGCTGTATAGGGATTCAAACCCAGGCAATCGAGGTCCCAAGACTGTGCTCTCCACCCTAGCTTCTCAAAATACACTGTGAATAATTCACACTCATTATCCCACATAATCCTGTAAGGTTTATTAGCCCTGTTTTATAGGTATGGAAACTGAGGCTTAGTGAGGTGAAAGCCTTGTTGAGTGTCACACAGGTAGACCATGAGAGTTCCGGATGGAATCCCAGGTCAGTCTGATTCCAAAACTGCATACGATACTGCCTCTAACATCTGCTTAATTTATGGGGCTTAGGAACCAAATCAACTTGCTTTATAGCCCTGAGAACCACAGCTTTTACCTTGGGGTTGGCCCTGGCCTTCCAGGAAGTATTTGAATAGAGAATTCTGTTTTTGGAGGAAATTAAGGAGCGTGGTCTTCCCCACCTGACCTATTAACCCAACATTTTATTCTAGAAAAAAAAAAAATCAAACCTCCAAAAAAGTCAGAAGAATTATCCAGTGAACACCTATATACTCGTTCCATAGATTTTGTGACATATGTTAACTTTTGCTGTATTTACTTTATTGTCCGTCTCTCCATTCCCCCCCCGCCCAATCCTTCCTAATATTTGGTGTATTACAAAGTAAGTCGCAAACATCATTGTACTTCCAGGATGTTGTCATTGGTTGTAATTCAATATTAGCTTTTCTAAAGCAACGTTTAGTGCACATATTTTAAGTGTACTAGTTAATGTCAACCGGGTAATCCACTCCCCTATCAAACTATAAAACACAACCATATTCTAGAAAGCCCCTGTGCCTGGGTTCCTTTTCACAGTATATTCCAGTGAAAACCATCCCCAGAAGCTTACTTGGCTTCAACATAGATGTCTCTTGGTTTATTTTCTCCTAAATCTGCTCATCTCAGAACAAAGATTAAACAGGTGGGAGAAGAGAGCTGAATCTCCGGCAGGCAGCAACACCACCAGAAACCACAGTAAATTCTATGGGCACTTCCAGCGTGTTTGTCTCACTCTAACACTGCATTCATTCATGAGTTTCATTCTCTTAAACAACTTCAGGCTGTCATCACTGCTTAACAGTCCCATTTTACAAGTGAGCAAACTGAGGCTCAGATAGATCATTTTTTTCCTATGTCACCCAGCAAGTAAGCGAAAGAATTGGAATTTAAATCTAGGAATTCACACCTCTCCTTCAAAGGGCTTTTGTGTGAAATCAATGAGGCTCATAGTAAGACTTCAATAAACAGGAGCTAATGCAGAACAGGAAAGACCCTGCTAAAAACTTGGGAAGTAATTATCTAAGGAAGGCAGAGTGATCTGCCCTTGTTCCTGATTAGTCACGTGAGGTGAGCCCGTCTGTTGAACTGAGCATGGGGCAGTCAGTGAGGACCTTGTCCATAACTGGTTGAGGCAGTGAGCAGGGAAGAGGCCACAAGCAAGGGCCAAGGAGCAGATAAAAGGGAGGAAGCATGAGGGAACATGGACAACTCTGCTGGCAATGCAGCACTGATAGGGTGAAGGGGAGCTGCTGGTCACTGGAAGGGGCTCTTTCTAAATGATGGAGCTATTTGTTCCTGTTTGAGTGCTAATGTGACTGAGCTGGCTGACAGAGAGAAGGTATTGGGGGATGGAAGGAGCAAGGAGCTTGAAGAGAAGGGAGGGAATGTGGTCTGCATACATGAGCAGGGGATGGGTGGCTTCCCCCATAAGGAGGAGAGATGGAGGAGAGGGACTGGGGAAGTGAGGGAGGTTTGCCTGCCTTCCCTTGGACAGTAAATAAGGGTGAAGATCATCTGTCCCCTGCTGAAGAAGGCAGCACTGAGACCTGGGGCCTCTAGGCTGGGATCTCATCTTCCTTTCTGCTGCAGCTCCCCCTGCTCTGAGACTTCCCTCAGCTGCCCTTGCAACTGAGGTGACCAAAAGAAAAGCTTGTGCTTTCTGAGCTCCCACTGGGGTTGCAGTGGGAGGTGCTGGGCTTGTATTTTCTGTTAATTCTGATGGTAATGGCATTCTGTGGGCTCTAAAAAGCCAGAGAATCAAGAATATCTGAATGGTACTCACCACCTCCCAACCCTTTTTACAGATGCGGAAACTGAGGGCTAGAGAAAAATAATAGGTACGCATTTTGATCACTTTAGAGTATTAACATATTACATACTTTGTTTCATGTAATCCTTACATGATATTATTGTTAGCCACCCCTTCACCATTCTACCCATTCACCCATCCATCCCAGAAGCGGTTATTAAGTACCTGCTGTATACCAGATATTGTGGAAAGTTTTGGTGAATCAGCAAAACACAATATGAGCAGGGTTTCTGACCACACGACTAATTGCATGAATAATTATCTGAATTGCAAGTGTGATCAACAATAGAAGAAGATGGATGTAGTAACACACTAATGACAGCTCAGGGAGTCAGGAAAAGAGGGCAGGAAGGAAGAAAAGACAGAAGGAAGAAGGAAGGAAGGACAGACGGTCAGACAGATGGACTCATTCAACTGAGAGCTGAAGTACAAAAAGCAAAGGCAGGTGGGAGCAATGGAGGGGGAACAGCATGCAAGAAGGCGCTATGTCAGGATGGAACAGAGCACAGAAGAGGAAGTATAGAGAAACCAGGTGGCTGGCATGTGGTGGAGGGGATTAGAATGGGCCTTTGAGTTTGCAAAGGCCAACCATGTGGGCTTGGAGGCCAAGATAAGAACCTTGGACTCCATCCTATGCTCAAAAGGCACAGATATTATTTTTCTCTAGCCCTCAGTTTTCTTATATGTAAAATGGGTTGGAAGGTGGTGAGTACCATTTGGATATTCCTGATTCTCTGGCTTTTCAGAGCCCACAAAATACAAGAATAATGGAAAATATAAGACGGATGCCATTGACGGTTTCAATCTGGAGGAAAGGGTACAGGAGAATGGGAAAGACTTGCCCTGTTGGGGAGAAACTGAGGCTGAAGAGAAGATTCACTCTCCTAGCTGACTTTCATTGGATCCCTACTATGGGCTAAGCACTGTGTTTATCCCTTTCCATCATTATTCCATTTAACACTCACTTCAACCCTATGAGGGAGGAACCATCTCCCTCATTTTACAGATGGGGAAACTGAGGCAAGGCCCAAGGAAGCTTTCCCGTGACCCAGGCAAGTGTCCTGTGCACTGGATCACCTGGCTGAGAAGTGGCAAGGGTAGGGCTCATACCCTGGTCCCTTTCAGACAGGTTCCATCTGCCCCTGGCATTGACCTCTGTCTATGCCCCGCCCTTTTCAGACAACCGTTGCATGGACAGAAGGTTCCTGCCAGGCAAGTCCAAGCAGCTCATTGCTTTGGCCAGCTTCCCAGGTGCCGGCAACACATGGGCTCGCCACCTCATTGAGCTGGCCACAGGCTTCTATACTGGCAGCTACTACTTCGATGGCTCCCTCTACAACAAAGGTGAGGAGACAGCAGGGAGGGCAGGGCAGGAGATTCCCTGGGCTTGGGAAGGTCCCCATGTGGAGGGTATGGGAATACTCCTTGAGTACCTACTGTGTGCCACTCTCCCAGGCACACTTATTGAGACTCACTGCATGCTTGGTACTCCCCCTGTTCCTTTATGCCCCACAAACATTTCTTGAGTCATGTCCTGGATACTCCACCAGCATCTGTTCAATAATTGACATTTATCAAGTACCTATCATGTGCCTGGTACCTTTCCTCCATTTAAGTCACCACAAACATTCCTTAAACACCTACTGTGTGCTGGTACCTCATCACAGATGTTTACTGACCAGCAACTCTTTGATGTAATAGAGGTACAAGAACCATGTTCACTTTGGGGACATTTATTGAGCACCTACTGTACATCAGAGGTCCTCTCCACATTTAAGTCAACAATATTCACAATGTAGGGTAATCTATTTTCCGTCCATTCACAGATGTTTATTGAGCCCTGGAATGTTCTGGATGCACTTCCTAAGTTAGGTGTCCCAACATGCATCTGTGGAACACCAGCTGTGTGTGAGGTACGACATGTAGGTTCAGATTGCCAAAGATGTTCTTTTGGCACCTAATAGGTGGCCAGGTGCCGTATTCTTATTTAACCCTGCATAGAAACCCTGCGAGGTACAGTGATGATGTTCTTTCCCAGAAATGAAAACTGAGGCTTGGAGAGGAGAAATAACTTGCCCAAAGTCACACAACGTGTTTTTCCACATGCTGATCAGGGATTGCGTTCTAGTGTTTCCCAGTTTGAAAGCCCACATCTTTATTACTCTATCACACAGGTAAGAAATTCCTAGGTTTCTGGCCAGGCACAGTGGCTGACACCTGTAATCCCAGCACTTTGGGAGGCCGAGGTGAGCGGATCACCTGAGGCAGGAGTTTAAGATAGTTCGAATCACTTGAACCCAGGAAGCAGTGGTTGCAGTGAGTTGAGATCGCACTATTGCACTCCAGCCTGGGTGACAGAGTGAGACTTCATTTCAAATAAATAAATAAATAAATAAATAAATAAATTCCCAGGTTTCTTACTGAGGAACAAGAAATGGATGAAATGCCCCTTTGGGTATGTAGCCCTCTCCTGAGCATGGTGGGAGACATCAGGGAGGCAAGGAGGCTTTGCATCTACATGTGGAACAGCCCTTGGCCATGGTCTTTGTGTCTGCAAACCAGCTGAAGACCACTTCCTGGCTGTGTCCCCTTAGGCAAGTAACTGTACCTCTCTGATTCTGTGTCCTCATGCACAAATTAGAGATAAGAGTATGTACCTCATGAGGTTCTTTCAAAGCAGGGGTGTCCAATCTTTTGTCTTCCCTGGGCCACACTGTAAGAAGAAAAATTGTTTTGGACCACACATAAAATACACTAACACTAATGATAGCTGATGAGCTAAAAAATAAATAAATAAAATTAAAATAACAAAAAAAATCTCATAATGTTTTAAGAAAGTTTACGAATTTGTGTCGGGCCACATTCAACATCATCAATAAATGTTGGCTCTGGGTACTCTGGTCTGGGTGTCAGGCACTAGCCAGGCACAGCTTGATGCTGATAGACAGTCATTCCCGAACCCTAGCTCAGAGAGAGCCAGGCGCATGTCTTTCGCAGGGTGAGACATAGGAGGGAGGCAGAGGCTGGCGGAGAAATGGCAAGAAGGGTGAAGAGGGATAGGCTGATGGTTGGGGTTGGCAGGGGTCAGGCAGGGGAATCTGCTTGAGAATCCCAACTTTTTATATATTTATTAATTTTCAGTTTTGGTCTGAGAAGTTGTTTATTAAGTACCTATTACTTATGAGGCTCCAGGCTGAGGTTATGGCATGCTTCTATCAGGATCTGAACCCAGGGCTGGCTGTCGGCAGTCCCTATGATCTTAACCGCTGTGAGGTGCTGCCTTTCTGGGAGCTGCTGGGAAGAGCGCTGGGATATTCCAGAATCTCTCTGGCTTGTCCTGGAGCAGAAACTGGGCAATGCAAGTTCAGAACAGATGCCATGGCTGGCCCACATTCTAACCCTCCTGGCAGTGGCAGCAACCCTGCTCATGCAATCCCAGAATGTCACAAACAGCAGGGTCCTTCAGAATCATTTAGTTCAGGGATCAAAACTGGTTTCATCTAGTGTTGATTCCAATGAATCTTTGCTTAAGGATGACGTGTTAAGAAAGATTCCGAGGTTCTATTCTCTCTCTGAAACAAAGTGTCTTAATCTAGTGGTGATGCCTGCTGTAAGCAGGGAAAGGGGAACAGTGGTCTACACACCAGGAATTCGCCATCTGACCTAACTCAGCCTCCTAACGTCAGAGAAGAAGAAATGGAATCTTAACATGGAGTCAGAAGCTCCAATTTTCAGTCTGAATGTTCACTCTGATAGCTAACGGCTATGAGAATTTGTGCAAAATTCTTCACCTCTCTGAGCTTTAATTTCTTAATCTGTTACATGGGGATATCAGTACTGAACTCAGAGATTTTCCAAAAAATATAACAAGATAATGCTTGTGAGATAATATGAGTGAGCCTGTGGTGTAAAATAGACACTTTTTAAGTGCGAGGTAACCAGGACAGTCAGTTACTTAGTCTGGCAAAGGGAGTTGCTCTCTGACTACACACATTAGCATTGCCCAGGGAGCTTTTAAAGTCTTGACACCCGGGCTGCATCTCAGCCGATCACCATCAGACTCTCAGGTGTGGGCCCAGGTGTTGGCATTTTTTATAAGCTCGCAGGGGGTTCCAATGCAAAACCAGAGCCAAGACCCCGGGCCCTAGACAAAGAACCCAGCATTCTTACTTCCAGACCTAAAACATTCCAAAAATTCATCTTTGCCCTGTGTTTGTTAATACTCTAGTGTTGGGAGATATTAATTAGTCACTAATGGAGTGAGACACCTGCTAGAATCTTGATTTTTAAAAAAAAGATGGGAAGAAAACATAACCCTCCTGTGGCAATTCCCTGCCTCAAGCTGTGTCTACTTACTAGATATTTCCTTCATTCATACTGAGACAGGCAGGGGTTTGTGGGCTGGTCACAGGCAGCGGAGTCTTTGAATGTAGCTGCCTTTTCATTAGGAGCTTTAAAATCCTTCCTGCAGCCTGAGCCCTTGCAGTTGACACTGAACTCTCCCTGGGAGCTAGGAGCTGGCAGTGGGATGCAGACAAAGTGAAGGGCCTCTTGCCCCCCAACGGCATCAGCCAATCTAGCTAACCCTGCCCAGTCTCTCCCCACACCACCTTGCAGCTGAAAGGTGCTGAACTTCATGAAATCCTTTGCTGCATTTGCCACCACCGGGCCAACGTTCTGCAGCCCCACTCAGACTCCAGGTATAATGAGCTCTTTGTAGTTCAAGAATGTGCCAGAGATTTGCACGTGCAAATCTGGGATGTCAATCCCCGCCACGCCCACCCTTATTTCTTGTTTATTGGCCTGGAAACCATCTCTTGAGGCTGCAGGTCAAATTCCCCATTGCAGTGTCTCTGGCAGACTTAACAAGTCCTCCTTTACCCTCCTTGTACCCCAGACGTTCCTTCATCATAGCCCTAATTATTATGAATATATTCACATCGCTGTCAATAATTCTAATCATCATGGGCCTTTATTTAATATTTACAATGGGCCCAGCACTGTGACGGGCACTTTGTATTTTTCTCAGTCTTGAGGTATGTGTGCAGAAGATGGATAGGATTTACTCAGAGGGAGGGAAAGGAGGCTGTCCCAGGCAGAGGCCACGCCATGCACAGAGACGAGGAGGAGAATGGCACCGTGTGACGGGTGAATACAAATAGTTTGATGGTGTTGGACGGGGAAAAGGGAGGGAGTGGGGCTGGGGTGTAAGGTACAAGGGGAATCCAGAACAGGATTTGGCAAAGCACCTAGAATGCCCTTCTGAGAGGCCACTGTTCTGAGGGCTATGGGGATAGGAATAGGAGGTGGGCTATTGTCGGGTTTTCAGCAGAGACATGGTGTGCTGAGACTTGCGTATTGGAAATACCCACTTGGCCACAGATTTGGACTGAGAGGTATTTAGCAGGCTGCAGGGTTATCCAGGGGAGTGGCAGTGCTGGGGAGATGGGGACAGTGGGTGGGACATTTAGGAAGTCACCGATTAGAATAAGAGAAGACAGTAACTTGGGGGCCTCGGTGGGTGGGTCTGGAGGGGGTAGCATCTGTACAATGAGCTGATCCCCCAGCAACTCTTGCTCATTTATCTAAGTCCTTTAGAGTTTCTTTTCTTCTGCTACCAACTTGCTGGATGGCTGGACGCACGTTCCCCTGCCCCTCAAGACCTCAGTTTCCTCTTCTGTAAGAAGCATGTGTCACATGGGTGGTCTCCCGGGGCCTTCCTAAACCTCTCGGTCTGCCTGGCATGTCCTCTCTTTCCTCCACATTTTCTGCAACCTTCTCTTCCCTCAGTCTGGCAAAGGGTCCACTCCACCAGCGAGCTGGGGAGGGAAGGAGGGAGGGACTGAATGAGTGAATGAATGAGGAGATGTAGGGACCTTTCCCTCCCAGAATCCAAGTATCTGTCCCACTTGGGTCTTTCTTCTCTTTCCCTCACTAGGTGCAACTGCCATTTGCAAAGCATGGTTTTCTCTGTCTCTGTACCCACATCTCTCCCTCTCCCTCTCTCTCTCCATTGTTCTTTCTCTGCATGTCTGCCTCTGCCCAGTATGTGTCTCTGCCTCTCTGTGCTTCTCTCTGTGTCTCTCTCTAGGTGTCCATCTCCTCTTCTCTGCTTCTGTCTCATTTTATTTCTGTGTGTGTTTCTCTCCCCCATCCTCTGCTTTCTCCCTCACTTTGTCTCAGTGTCTCTCTCTCTCCAGGTAACTGTGTCTTTCTCTCTCCCTGTCCCCTTGCCCTGGGCTTCATCTCCCCTCTCCCTGCCTTTCCTCGCCTCAGAGATCTCGTTGCCCTGATGCAGGCACAAGCTCTGTGGTCTGTAAGGAGCCAGAGCCCTGACTTCTGAAGGAGGAGAGACAGAAGACAGAAGGGCAGGATATGTTCTCACACTAGTACACCAGCCCACAGAGTTGGCAGCCTCTCAGCTCAGCTGATGCAGGACAACAATTTCTCAGGATTTCTTTGTCCTCAAAACAAATCCCACTGTCCTGGAAAACCACCAGCCTTCAGCAGTGTCCATGCCTGGAGCCAAGATGGGACTTCGCTGTCCCAGTAAACTCTGGAGTGCGGCTGGGGCATAAGGTTCAAGGGGCGTCCAGAACGGGATTTGGCAAAGCACCTAGAATGCCCTTCTGAGAGCTGTGGCCATTGTCCTGAGGGCCATGGGGATAGGAATAGGGGTGGGCTATTGTGGGGTTGAAGGGAAGTGGCAGAGATGTGCAGTCTCTGCCACTTTCCTTCTCTGTACCTTAGCTCCCCTGACTGAAAAACACACAAGCAACTATAGTAACAGATTTGGAAGAGAGAAAGGGAAAACGTCTTGTTCTCTGTGGCCCGGAACAAGGTTGTTTCTCCAAATCCTGGGACAGTTGGGCAGCCCCTTAGAGTTTGAGGGTCACATGGGTGCCCAAGCTAAGCTGATATTTTGGTGACTCTTAAAAGATACGATTTAAATATACCATGTTTATGTCATGGAGATGCTGGGTCCTATGTGTCAAGGACAGTGGAGAGGGGGACACCCTGGTGGCGGAGTCCAGCAATTCCGCTCTGGCAGGAAGCTTGCACCCATGATTCTCTTTCAGTTACCTAGACAGGCCCTCTTTGGAGGACAACTGAGCAACTGTCTGTTGTTCCTCAGGCAAGCCCATTCCTTTTGGCTTCTCAAAAGTTCCTTCCAGACATAGTACTCTTCCCTCTCTGGGAGATGTTCTGCTAAATGGAATTTTCTCTACATTTGCAGTACTTCCTATAGACAAACTCTTCAGGCAACCAGAATCTGGAATATGAAACAGATCTTTCCCAATCTTTATAGCTTTTCCAGGTATTTTTGGGTTTTTGTTTATTTTGTTTTTAATCTAGATAAATACTGTGCTAAGTTGACCCCATCACGAACAAATAGAAATGTAACTTGGGTCTCACAATGCATGGAGTTGATTTAAAATAGTTTGACCGTCCTTCCTTGTTTCTGACAATTTATTTTTCCTAGTTGAGACCCTGTGTGAGTTCTGGTATACCCCCGCCTGTGTTGTCCATTGCTGCCCTCATAGTGAAACAGATTTTGGTAAAGATAAAATGAAATCATGGAAAGAAAGCCCTTTGTCCATGTCATGCAGAGATCTATAAGACTACATGATGTGAAATTATATCCCGTGTTGCCTTGCATAAATATTTATGTCCCAAGCTCTCTCTCTCTCTCAAGCTGCCACATCCTAGTCCTCATTCTCCTATAGAGGAGACTTTTTCCACGACACTGTGCTTCCCATCGGCCTCAAAGGCTGTGGATTAATATTATCTCATGGGGATGGGCCAGTGCTAATTTGCAAGGCTAGACTAATCCCAGGCAATTTGACTTGGCTAGTCCCAGAATGGAACCTGATTGAGAAAATCACATTCCATTCTTGGCTTTTCTGCTCAGTGGCCCTGTGAGGGAGGCTGCACCTCTCTGGACCCCTGTCTCCAGGAACAGAAGCAGATAGCAAGCCAGTCTTCAACTCCATCCATCTTTAAAGCCAGAGCACAACAGGGAAGGAAGAAACTATACTCCAAGGTTTGATGATATGGAGCGGCTTCTCAGTCCATGATTTCACCCTAAGTCTTATTCTGCATTAGCTGCCATTTATTGAAGTGTTACTGTGGGTCTCACTTATTTCTCACAATGCCCTTATGAGAGAGAAAGTGCATGGACCCATTTTACAGATGAGGAAAACCGAGGCTCAGAGAGGTGACATGATATCCACAATGACTCATTGAGTTGTAAACACAGCCAGTATCTTGAAGGCCTAGTACAATAACGTTTCTACCTGGCCTTAATATAGTATCCAAATGCCTTAGCCTGCATGAGCTAAGGGGTGCTTAGAGGGTGAAGGACACATGTGTGCCAGAAGCCTGGATGAGTTTGTATCTTAGCTCTGCCTCTCCTCTAGCTCTGTAACTTGGGAGAGTTATGGGACATCTCTGCCTCAGTTTCCTCATCTGTAAAATTCCCCACAGAATTTTTGAGAGGATTGAATTGCTTAATATATGTAAAGGCCTTAGACTAGTCTCCAGCTGCACAGAACTTCTCTCAGCTCCCCTCAGCCTCTCAAAGGAAAACTTGATCATGTTCCTCTTCTTTTTGCTTAAATCCTCTTAAGAGTTCCCCAGTCTTTCCGGTCTAGTGCTGGCCTCTTCATCACAGACCCCACAACCCTCTCCAGCCCCATGCTCCCCTCTTGCTACCTGCATTCTCTTTGCAGTCACTCGTATGTGACACATTTCTTCCTACTCATCACAGGCCCTTTGCGCCTGCTGTTCCCAGCCCTTGGCCCTCCTTTCCCAGCTCTCTTGAGCTAGTAAGTTTCTCCTCATTTTTCAGTTCTATGCTTAAGCACCTCTTCCGCCAGGAAACCTTTCTGGATGCCACTTGACTAGATCAGTGATTTTGATTGAGCTGACTAGGCTGCCCATCTCCAGGCTGCAGGTTGGGACCACGTCTATTCTATGTGTCTGGCTTCATCTGGGTGGATTCCCCCCCCCACCCCCAGGGCATGTCCTTTCACGGTGATAGCAGAGCTCCCTCATGGAGAGTAGGCAGAAACATACGATGTATCTTGAGACTGTGCTGAAGACCTACTTCCACCCCTATTCCACGGGCCAAAGGAAGTCATGCCCATCTTCGTTGAGGTAGGGACGCTGACCCCCACAAAGAGGAATCACCAATACATGACTGTCTGGCCCCTCTCATAGCATCCAGGCTTCTTTGCTTCTTTTTTTGTTAAGAGACAGGGTCTCACTCCGTCATCCAGCCTGGAGTGCAGTGGGATGATTATAGCTCACTGCAGCCTCAACCTTCTAGTTCAAGCAATCCTCCCACCTCAGCGCCCCCGAGTGGCTGGGACTACAAGTGAATGCCACCATACCAGGCTAAATGTTTTTACATTCTTGTTGTAGAGAATGGGGTCTCACTATGTTGCCCAGGCTGGTTTTGAACTCCTGGGAGCAAGCTATCCTCCCACCCTGGCCTCCCAAAGTGCTGGGATTACAGGTGAGAGCCACCGTGCCTAGCCAGCACCCAAGCATCAATACTCCCCTTTTGTAGCACTCACCAGGGCAGAGGTTTTGCACTTACTATTTGAATTACCTAACTCTCAAAAACAGGAAGACCTGTCAATGATTTTGAAGACCTGTGAATGTTTTGTAAATCATTTTAATCCCGGGGTCCTAGCATAGTGCCTGGCACATAGTAGGTGCTCAATAAATTCGCGAGTGACTGAGTGAACAAATGCATGAGGATTCCTGAGGTGGCCCAGAAGCGAGTGGGGTGAGCTTCCTGCTTCCCTGGCTCACCAGTCCTGAGTCCTGTTCCTCACCTCCGGCTGTGGGAAGGGTTTAAAGGTGAGCGGGACCACTGGCGCAGTGGACGGACCATCTGCATCAAGACGCACGAAAGCGGCCAGAAAGAGATAGAGGCCTTCGACGCCGCCATCCTGCTCATCCGCAACCCGTACAAAGCCCTCATGGCTGAGTTCAACCGCAAGTACGGTGGCCACATAGGCTTTGCTGCGCATGCCCACTGGAAAGGCAAAGGTACCGCTCGGAGGGGAGGGGTGGAGAGAGGAGGGGAGAAGCGGGGAGGGGAGGGGAGGGGAGGGGAGGGGCGGGGCGGGGCGGGGCGGGGACCCGGGTTGCAGGAGGTGGTGGGAGGGTCACGTGCTCCGGACTAGACCAGCGTGGTCCACAGGAGGCGATGCCTCAGGCGAGGAACTCTGGAGGGCATCCTGGAGGGCATGTGTCATGCTCCAGTCGCTGCTTCCAGTAGAGCAGGCGCCTCCCACAACCCCCCCACCCCCCCACCCGCAAGCATCACCTTCAGTGAGTCGGGCTGCTGCATGTCACAGGGGATTAAAACCGTGGGCTCAGGAGAAAGGCTCTTTGGGTTCAGATCTCAGCGCTACCACCTCCCTGAAAGGTCTCATTCACCTCCCTGAACTTAGATGGCCCCATCTATAAAGTGAAGATTATAAAATTGTGAGGCTTTAAGAATTTTACAAACACTCAGTAGGTGTGACTCTCAAGATGTTGGAGATGCTCCCAAAATTGATGTGGGATTGATGGAAGCCGATTAAAGAATTTCAGGAGACTGAATCCAGCCCCAGGTCAGTGGCTATGCTGCCACGAGGTCCTAAGAGCACAGGTAGAGGGCATCATTTCAATGAACACTCCCAAGGACTCTAGGTGAGGAGGCTCAGAGAGGCTAAGTGACTTGCCCCACATCACACAGCTGGGAAATGCCGGTGCTGACCCCCAAGCATGGAACTTACTAAGATGACCTGGGTTTGAGATTCAGCTCTGGCACTTACTAGGTGACAGAGGGCTGTGTGCTTCAACATTTCAATGCAGAGTGACCGCCCAGGGCAGTGGCCAGAGCTTTGAAGTCAGACCCAATTTCTGCCATTTTGAGCATTAACCTTCTCAACTTCAAAGTACCAGACCCATTATAGGATGATCTGTACCAGCATAATGAAAGTCACATCTACTGAGGGTTTAGGAAAAGGCAAACTTCTTAAATTCCCACAATAATTGTCCCCATTTTATAGACGGGATAATCTAGGTTCAGGGAGATTAAGGAGCTTTTGTAGGGTAAGAGGGATACAGGGGGTTGTATAATTCGTATAAAGTTACAGTTATACAAGATGAGTAGGTTCCACAGATCTGCTCTACAACATGGTGCCTTTAGTTAACAAGAAGGTATTCTTTACTTAACATTTTGGTAAGAGGGTAGATCTCACATTAGGTGTTTTTTACTGTACACAAAAACAAACAAAACAGACAAAAGGAAACTTCCAGAAATGATGGAAATGTTTATTACCTGGATTATGGTGATGGTAACATGAATGTATCCACAAAGCCAAACTCACTAAATTGTATAAGCAGTTTTCCGTATATCAATTACACCTTAATAAAGCTGGAGTTGGAGGAGTTTTTCCCTGAAGTGGTACAGCTGGGATTTGAACTCAGGGAGTCTTGCTCCAAAGCCCACATTTTTCAGCACTGCACTGTGATAATGGATTAGATGAACCATTGGTGGCTATGAATCACCCAGTCCAGAGCCCCCAACACACAGCAGGTGCTCTGTAAATGTGAGTTATCCCCAGCTCATCTAGCCTCCAGGAACCAGGCGGCTTTAATACTCCAGCCTCTCCCCAGAGAGGACCAGAGCCTTCACGGTAACACCCTCAACGCTGACTTCGATGATTAAAACCTTTGGGCCTGCCCCTTGGGTCCCAGTTCACTCAAACTGCTTGTCTGTTCCTCCCCCTCCCTTGCTCCTCTTCTCAGTGAGGGGGTGGAAGCTTGGACAGGTGGTGACATCTGTCCATTTATACCCAAGGGTAGAGAGACCTCTGAATTATTTATTTGTAGAACAATCAATCAAAAGCAAACACTGGTCGCTAGGCTGAGACATCCGCATGTGCAAATGGTAGTACCCTGTCCTAAGAGCACAGATTCTTCTTGTCAAAGCTGGAAAAGATCTGGGACATCAGCGACCCCCGTGGGCCTCTGTGCTGGCTGCTCCTTAGAGTCCCTGGAGGAGAGTGGGCAAACCCCAGTGCCCAGGCTGCACCCTGGACTATTACTGGGTGGCACCTGGACATCAATATATTTTTTTCAACTTTTATTTTAAATTCTGTGTTACATTTTCAGGATGCGCAGTTTCGTTACCTAGGTAAACGTGCGCCATGGTGGTTTGCTGCACAGATCAACCCATCCCCTATGCATTAGGCCCAGAATGCATTAGCTATTCTTCCTGATGCCCTCCCTCCCCCACACCGACAGGCCCCAGTGTGTGTTGTTCCCCACCCCCATGTGTGAATATTATTTTAAAGCTCCCCAGCTGCTTCTAATGTGCATGAAGGGCCGGGAGCCACTGATTCCTATTGATTAGTGGGGAAACTGAGGCCTGGAGAGAAGCAGAGCCCACCAAGGTTGGTCTAGCCCTAGGATCCAGTTCTCCAGCTCCCAGGCACCCTGCTGTCCCAAGTGAACAGAAAAGGGGCTTACTTGGGAAGCTCTTGTGGGCACTTCACGATTGTTATCTCATCTAAACTCTCTAAGGCCCACAGGAGGTAAGAAAGGCAATGATCATCAGTACATCCCATTTTACAGGTGAGAGAACCATCCCAGGAAGAGACAAGTCTCTTGGCCAAGGCCCTAGGTAATGACTGAGCTGTGATTCAAACCCAGGCATTAACCATGAGGCTCTGCTGCCCTGAGATGTTGCTGACCCTCTGGTACATTCAGATATTTTCCTCTTCCAGGGGAAGAGGAACCTGAACCCTGTATTAGGTTCAGACAAGTTTCCCAATTCCCAAGAGCCACCCATCTCTCCTCTTTTTCCTTATCCAAGACAGCACTTATCCAAAACCAACACTAAGGAAGGAGTCGCAACAGGTTGAACGGAGAGTATGGGATGATTAAAACCTTTGGGCCTGCCCCTTGGGATGGGAGTATGGGTTGGGGGAACCACCACGCTCCTCTCATATTGGGGGCCTGGGTCCCATATGAGCCTGAGATGGGGGAAGGGATCTTCTCCAAGTGCCCCCTCAAAGGCCTGACCCAGGTATGCAAGGGCTCTGGCAGAGAGCCCTCCCCAAAGAACAGAGCCCCCAGTCTCCATTCAGCCCATTCCTCCCCTTTGCATTCACCATCTGGCCCCTGGAGACACTTGAGTTTGAGACTCTTGCTTTTAGGTCCAGAATCAGTGGCATCAGCATCCCTTGGGAACTTGGTAGAAATGCACATTCTTAGGCCCCATCCCCAAACCTACTGAATCAGAAATTCTAGGAGCAGGGCTCCAGCAATCTGTGTTTTAACAAGCCCTCCAGGTGATTCTGATGAGCACCCTGGTTTAAGAACACTTACAGCCAGGTGCAATGGCTCACTCTTGTAATCTCAGCACTCTGGGAGGTCGAGGTGAGTGGATCATGAGATCAGGAGTTCAAGACCAGCCTGGCCAACATGGTGGAACCCCGTCTCTACTACAAATACAAAAATTTGCCTGGGCATGCTGGCGGGCACCTGTTATCCCAGGCTGAGACAGAGAATTGCTTGAACGGGAGGTGGAGAATGCAGTGAGCAGAGATTGCGACACTGCACTCTAGCCTGGGTGACAAAGTGAAACTCTGTCTCAAGAAGAAAAAAAAAGAACCCTTGCTCTCTTGGAAGGAGAGTTCTTTTTCTATAAGACTCTGCTACTCAAAGTGTGGCCTGTGAATCAGCGACATGGACATCACCTGGGAGATTTTTAGGCAAGCAAATCTCAGGCCCTCTCCCAGGCTTCCTGGATCAGAATCTGCATTTTAACAAGATTTCTGCAGACGCTTCATGGGCACTTTAAGGTTTGAGAACTGCTGCTTTTGGATGCCCTTAGTGACACAGAATGTGAAGGTCACTCTGTAAGAGCCAAGGTCACCTAGTTATTGAGTGTGTCCACCCCACCATGCCCTGTCCCCCTCCCAATTACATCTCAGTCCAGGCTCCTGCAACCACCACCCCCAACCTACTTTTGGTTCCATAGTGTTAATTTTACAGTCTCCTTAGAGTGACTTCAGAGCAAAATTGTATGTGATATGATTATACAAGGTGAATTGTCCTGGATCTGTTTAATGAAACAGACACTGTGTGTAATGATTCTGTAGGGAATTAAGTACAGTTAAGCTATTAATCAGGCCCTAGTTCCTTCCATCAACAAGAAGACGGAGGGGAGGCTGGCCAGCCCGTGCCCCGCCAGGCACACCTGTATGACAGTTCTGGTGGAAATAGCACTCATTACCAATGTTCCATGGTTTTATTGACCAGTTTGCAGACAGCAAACAATTATCAGGAATCCTAAGTTAATCAAGGGCTTTGGTTTTCAATTTTTCTTCTTCTTTCCAAGGAAGTCATTTGGGAGTTTCAAGGGAGGAAGCGTCGCCATAGGAGGAGGCAAGGCAGACAAGCATCTGCTGCTGAAACAACTTGGACATCTATTGTGATTTTGGAGGGATGCGTGGTCTAAATGAGGGGGCATGTAGGGAGTCAGGGGATCAGGAGGATGAATATCATCATGAAGAATCATAACAGTAACCAGTTTTTATCTAGCACCTTACTTGTCCCAGGTGCCGTACCAGGATCTTGGCAAATCTTATTTCGCTCCATCTTCACAGCATCTGTAGGAGGTAGGTCTCATCCGGATCACCACTTTGCAGATGGGTGCACTGAAGCTGAAGATCAAGTAGTGTCTCCAAAGTCATATAGCTCGTGTGGGGAGGAGCTGGGTTCTGAACCCTGGCAGCCTGACTGCAGAATCACCTATAAACAGACCCCAGGTCTCAGACAACAACCTGAAGGCACAGTGAGCAGTAGGCAGCCTAGAAGTCATGCTTCCCAGGCCCTGGAGTGAAAAGAGGGCAGGAGCTGATCAGACCTAGGTGCTTGATTTTTTCTTTTTAAAAATGTATTTATTTTTATATATTTAGGGTATAAAGTGCAGGTTTCTCTATATAAATTAAAATATAAAATAAATATTTTATATACATATGCACATGCATGTATACATACCACATTTTCTTTTTTTTTTTAATTTTACTTTAGGTGTATACTATATCTGGCATTTCTCCCCATGTTATCCCTCCCCACCCCCACTGTCCTCCCCTACCACCCCCCCCAACTGAATAGGAACACTCCTACACAGTTGGTGGGAGTGTAAATTAGTTCAACCATTGTGGAAGACAGTGTGGTGATTTCTCAAGGATCTAGAAATAGAAATTCCATTTGACCCAGCAAGCCCATTATTGGGTATATACCCAAAGAACTATAAATCGTTCTACTATAAAGACACATGCACACGTATGTTCATTGCAGCCCTGTGTACAATAGTGAAGTCCTGGAACCAACCCAAATGACCACATTTTCTTTATCTAGTCTTCCATTGATGGCCACTGAGATTGATTCCATACCTTTGCTATTGTGAATAGTGCTGCACTAAACATGTATGCAGGTGTCTTTTTTATGTAATGATTTCTTTCTCTTTGGGTAGATATCCAATATTGGGATTGCTGAATTGAGTGGTACTTCTACAGTCTGGGATAGGTGTGGGTTCAAACTCTGTCTTTAATGCCAACTGTGTAGACTTGAGCAAGTTGCTTCCTGCTTCTTAGACTCCTTTTCCCTGTGTCTAAAATGGGGCCAGTGTTAATAATTCCCACTCTCTAGGCTACTTGAGAGCACGGAATGAGAACATGCATGCAAAGTGCCCTGCATAGCTCCCAATACCCAACAAATGCTCAGGCAACATGCATTCCCTTCCTGCCCTTCAGACAGAGGTGCCTGGTGTCCCGCAGAGGTTTGCAGTCCACAAGGACACTCTGTCATCTCCATCCCACCTGCATCCAAGACTAGGACACCTGGAGCTACCTGAGAGACTCCTTCCTTTTTCTTGAGCCATCCTGCAGCCCTCTTTCAACAACCTCTTGAGATGGCGAGAGATGGCCAAGCCTAGAAGTTTGGATCTGTGTTGTTGCTGGGTGCTGGGTGACAAGCACCATCTCTATCACCTGGGCGTCTCCCCTGAGAATAGAAGCTATTTGGAATCACCAGCGATGCCGTGAGGTGATGCAGGAGTAGAGAAATTCTTAAAAAGGAAAACGAGCATACAACATACTAGATTTTTCGTAATCACTCAGATACATCTGGTCTTAACCCATTATAACAGTACGGGCCCAATTAGTCAGATACATTGTAAATAATCTATTTTAAGGATAAAAAATATCCTTATCACCAGCATAAATATCTCCCAAGCAGCCAGAATGTTCCGGAGGACTTGCGGGGGGAGAAGTCTTGCCACAGACTCTGATGAGTTCTGCAAAGAAGGGGAGGCCTTCGCCACACTGCAATTTGGCAGTTGCAAATTTCAATTTAGTTCAACAACCGTTCACTGAGCACCTGCTGAGTACAGGCATTGGGAGGAAGTCAGGATGAGGCTGCTGGTGCCTGGGAAAGATCCATCCTGGAACCCGGCAGGCCTGATCTGGACAGTGCTTCCTGGCTGTGTGACCATGACCAAGTCACTTCACCTCTTGGAGCCTCCATTTCCTCCCTGGTGATAAGTGGACAATAGTTCTTTTCCTTTCAGGGTAGTCAGCAGGATTAAATAAGATAATGGATATCCATCACCCAGCAAGGGATTAGGACTTAATTTTTAAGAACCAGCTGGGATCCCCAATGCAGCCTGGGGGACTCACCACCCTCGTTCAATAAATAGAGTCCTCCTGTTGCCTGCTCTGGCGGGCGCCGGGTAGCGTTTGCCCTTGTGAGAATCAGCAGGTCTCAGTTCATGGTTTTGGAGCTCCTGCCCTCTGATTCTCCAGCTGGGGCTCAGAATTGAGGCTGCAATTCATTTTCTCTGTTCCCAACACCCTCCAGGTCCCCCTTGTGCACTTTCCCCGGCTCCTTCTACTGTGGGAGTTTCAGCAGCTCAGGAAGCTGACTGCCTCTCCTCATGGAATTTCCAGGTTCTCTCTAACCTATCTTTCAAGTCAGACAGTCCCAAATGCACCCTCCTAGTTTGCATGACAATCCATCCTGTCATTTCACCATGACACTTCCATGAAAAATTTAAAAAGGTGGGACAAAAATGTGTGAAGATGAAAAATAGTCCAACTTAAACCCTGCCCTCAGATAGCTTACGGTCTGCGCAGGGTACAGACCACAGAAGTCGGGGCTTTCTGCACAGCATAATGAGTGCTGTAGGGGGCTGTAGGGGATGGAGAGGGGAACTGCCTGAGCCCAGGGAGTCAGAGAAGATGATCTGAAAACAGAATAATACCAGTAATAATGATAGCCAACATTTACTGAGCACCTGCTGAACTCAATACACCATACTAGAAACTTTATATGTTTTTTTCTACTTTGTACAACAATTCTATTATCATTTTGTGAGGAGATACTTCTATTACACAGAAAAGCCTGGTAGTCAAAAGCCCCGTCTTTGAAGCCAGACTGTCTGAGTTCAAATCCTGGCTCTGCCAGTTATTAGCTATACGACCTTGAGCAAATTACTTAACCTCTCTGTGCCTCGGTTTTCTCTTCTGTTAAATGGAGATAATGATGATACCTCGTAAGGTTGTTGTGAAGATTAAGTGGAATTAAGCTATATTAATATATTTATTAATAGGTAAGTATGTAATCTAGAATATATAATTAATACATTATATATTAACATAAATAATATATAATATAATAATATGTTGTATATTACATTGTAGTAACACATACTTATATATAGGATTGTGCCTGGCATATAGTAATCACCAAACAAGTATCATTGTTATCCCCAAAGAGAAGGTGGTGGCCAAGAATATTCCAGGGAGAAACAGCATTGAGGTGAGAAGTATAGGGGTGTGCTTAGAGCTCTAAATGGAGTGAATTGAGCAAAGTTGTTATTCTTTTTGTTTTTTAGAGGCAGCGTCTTGCTCTGTTACCCAGGCTGGAGTGCAGTGGCATCATCATAGCTGACTGCAGCCTCAACCTCCTGGGCTCAAGCAATCCTCCCACCTCAGCCTCCTGAGTAGCAAGGACTACAGGCATGCACCACCATGCCCAGCTATTTTATTTTTTATAGAGTTGGGGTCTTGCTGTGTTGCCCAGGCTGGTCTTGAACTCCTGGCCTCAAGCCATCCTCCAGCCTTGGCCTCCCTAAGTGCTGGGATTATAGGTGTGAGCCACCTCACCTGGTCTGTGTTATTATACTTAATTGTTAGTTGTGTCATTGTGTTGTGCTGTGAATAACGGTAACAATGGCCAGCACCATCTGACTGGGTCTTTCAAGCTCTCCTCCCTCTGACTGTGTCCTCCCTCCTCCCTCTGCAGAGTGGCCGGAGTTCGTGAGGAACTATGCCCCATGGTGGGCCACTCACACACTGGACTGGCTCAAGTTTGGCAAGAAGGTGCTGGTGGTGCACTTTGAGGACCTGAAGCAGGACCTCTTTGTCCAGTTGGGCCGGATGGTCAGTCTGCTGGGTGTGGCTGTCAGGGAGGACCGGCTGCTCTGTGTGGAGAGCCAGAAGGATGGCAACTTCAAGCGCTCGGGGCTCCGGAAGCTTGAGTATGACCCCTACACTGCGGACATGCAGAAGACCATCTCTGCCTACATCAAGATGGTGGACGCAGCCCTCAAAGGGAGGAACCTCACGGGTGTCCCTGATGACTATTACCCAAGATGATGTGTCCGCATGGGGGGAGGGTAGACTAGGAGTCCTGACCATGCAGGCCCTGTGGACTCAAGACCCCTGGTGACCCCACTGATCTGTCCTGTCATCGGTTTGGGGACAATCCCCTTGACTGTTCTTTGCCTTCAATGAGTTTCCTGCATGACAGAGGAGGCTCAAGGGAAGAGATTGTCCAGAAACTACCACCCTACTCACATGTTCCCCTCTTGGCAATGTGGGGCATCTGGTTTGGGGGTTCTAGTTACATGGGCTCTTTTCTGTCCCCTGTGTCCCTGCCCCTGCCACTCTGGGTTCTGCTTGTGGAAGGGAGGTCTCATCAGCTTCAAGGAGACTTGCTGGATGCCCCGTGGCCTGGGGGGCTTTTGTAAAAACATGGTCCCAGATGCTTGTCCCTTCTGGGCTGAGCTTTCGTAGCCCCCTTCTCATCTCCACTCAAGAAGCACTGGCACTGACATTTAACTCAGGCCACCTTCCGTTCTAAAGAAAGATTGCTGGGAAGTTTCTCCGTGGCCTTAGGCTTCTGACATCCTGGGTAGAGAGGGGAGGCAATGGTGCTCATGGTAGGTTAATTGGAGACACCAAGTGGGGCCGTTGGTGTCATGGGCCCACCTCCAGGCCACACTGCTTCTCAGAAATGAGCTGCTTGCCTTTCCATCTCCAGGGCGTAAACCCTGCCCCCTTCTGTCCATGCTGGGTCCAGGAAGTGACCTTGGGATCCTGATTCCAAATCCAAGGAACCTCAGGCACCAACAGTGAACCCACAAGGATGGTCACCTACCACGTGCAGAATTTGAGTTGAGAGAGAGCCCCAGTGATACATCTCTCCACGATGGGCTCCAGTTGGTCTTACACTGGCCTTCTGACCCCTACAAATGGGTCCTTTGCTATCCAGGGGAGACAGCAAGAGTGCTTTCAATCAGATGGAACCATACCCAAAATGGAACCCCACTACCTTCCCAGACCACCTGTCTCCCCTTGATCTAGTCCAACAGGCCAGCTTCCCTTGGGGGGCCCTTTAAGGAATGGGGTGAATGAAATTGTGTTATTTCTATACAAATACTGCTCTCTTGATGCTGAGATGCCAAACCAAAGGATTTCTGAGGACCTGAATCACGGAGCATCAATCTTACAAAGTGTTGGTCCAGGGTCCCATCTCTTCCCCAACCCTGGACACCAGTGGCTCCCCACCCACTCCACACCTGCACCATCCATCATTGTGTAGATGAAAAAGCCATAGATCACAGCCTCTTTGCTATTCTGTTGGAGCAACCTCCCTAAGCGGTCCCTCTGAAGCCTTGGGGTGCAGGTAAATGCTCATTCCCAAGTGGCAAAGAGATCCCGGAGAAGGCGCGTGTAAAGAGATATATTTTTGTAAGAGGAATATGATTAATACATTCCGCCCCTTGGAATCTGGCCATGCAAAGAAAAGGGCACAGGGATTAGACCTGTGCCACCCTTCCCCAATTCCCTCATCTGTAGGATTTGGGCTGCCCCAGGCCCACCCAGGGGGCTCTGAATGTATTTTGTACCGTGTTTCTTTCCCCCAGGTGAATTTCTAGTCTTTTTCATGAAGCAGTGGAGGGTTTGGCCTCCCTTCCATTGGGAGGTCGGCTCTCTCTGGGATACTCTTGGTCCAAGACCTAGGTCAGTTCTTTGCTGGTGGTCCCCTCTGACCACAAGCTTCTGTCTGACAATTCCTCAGGTCAACACCATCATTAAATGAGAGTTTTGTTGATGATTCTCCCATGTGGTAGAGTGTTGTGTAAGACAGGTTCACAAATGAGATGTTTTCCTGGTGTGTGTATAGTGTGTGTGTATGTGTGTGTCTGTGTGTGTGTGAGAGAGAGAGAGAGACAGAGACAGTGAGACAGAGAGAGAGAGAGAGAGAGAGATGAGAAATAGAGAGACAGAACATGTTCAGGGTGATGGGCGGGTTGGTGTATAAACTGCTTTTGTGCCTGTGTAACCCTGGCATAGCTGCCTAGGAAGAATTACATGCCTCTGTGTGTAAAATTGCCTTTGTGTCCACCTGCCTCTCTATGTTTTGAGACTGTATCCCGCAAGTTGCCGTGATGACTGTCCCATTTTTAATTTGTCTGTGCAGGTTCTTGTGTATGGGATTGCACCCATGTGAATGAGGAAATGGTTAATGTGCATGAAACCCGTGTGTGAGAAGCTGCCTGTCTATTTATGGAGGGCATGTCTTCCTCATGTACCTTTTGTCCTTGGCTGCTTTGAGAGGGAGGGGCTGTGGGGAGAAGTAGGTGGGATGAGATCACTAGAGTGTCATGAAAATGTTCCTGCCTAAGCATGTGCACAGGTATGGAAGAGGTTCTCTATGAGAGGCGTCTCTTCTGTGTATGTGTGTGAGAGAGAGAATGTGTGTGTGAGGGGGGGAGAAAGAGAAAGAAAGAGAGAGAGACAGAGACAGAGAGAGAGAGAGAGACCCTGAGCATAACGCTTTGCACAGGCATATGCAGCAGGGAAGTCAGTGAGAGTCCAGGAGGACAGAGAAGCCCCCTCTGCTCCCTGGTGGGTGCGGATGAGCTTTACTAAGCCTCCACATACTGCTGAAGGAAGACTCTGTGCTCTTCCTCCTCGTGCATCAGGGGGGCTTCTGGGAGGAGGTGCTGATGTTCAGGGGCTGTTTCCCAGCCAGAGGGAGACCAAAGTGTTGTATACTGACACATGGAAAGTAAGCAGCGGAGGAGCAGGGCCAGGCAGAGGAAAGAGAAAGGGGCTTCTCCTCCCCCAGGCAGGGAGAGCTCAGAAGGACTGAGAGTGCTGGGGAGACTGGTAGATATGGGAGAAGATCTCAGAAAGGGTGTGAGTTTGTTCCAGAATCCAGAAGAATAGGGCCTTTCTCTAGGGATTCATGTTGGCTCACAAAATTCATTCTGTGATGACTGATTGAGCTCTGATCTGGGCCCAGAATACACTCTGTCCCCAATATTAAACCAAGTCTGACCTGATCACAGACTGAGCCCAATCCTAGAGCATTGAACCTGAGTCAAAGTTAAGCCCGGATCCTGATCACAGACTGAGCCTTAATCCTGTGCACATACTGATCCACGAACCCTCATTCCTGCCCCATGTTGACTGAGTCACATTGGACTAAGTCCCAAACTAATTGTATTGAGCCTTGACCCTAGTCATTGACTGTACTCCAACCTCAGTCACAGACTGGGCCCTTACCTGCCCCAGAACTAATGCTGACAGTGTCTCCTGACTGAGCCCTAATCTCTGTCATGGACTGAGCTCTGATCCTGGTCACAGGCTGAGCCCTGAACCAAGGTGCCAATTTTATTTCACTTTTCTAAATACTATCCATGCAACCAAATCCTCCCAACTGGAGGTGCAGGAAGCCATGCAGCGTCTAGCTCCAAGCTCTCATGGATCCTTCTCAGAACCCACAGATGATGTGCCTTATGTAAATCCCCACTTTCCACCTGCCTCCACCACAGATCACCGTCAGGTGGGAGGGGGTGATGCAAAAGCTGTTTAGGCCAAAGGCGGGGCTGGACAGTTTACCAGCCTCTTCTTTGGCTGATTTCTGCCCTTCCTATCACACTTCATCAGCCATCTGGAATAAAATATTCGTATTTCAGACTCAGAAGGAACCAAGGTAGCATTCATTCATTAATTACATATTTACTGAGCACCTACCATGTGTTAGGCACTGCTCCCAATTCTAGGAACTAAGAGAGTAACAAGACCGACAAAAATCTATGCTCCAGCAGCTTACACTTAACTGGTACTGAGCAGACATCACAAAGTGATCAGAAAACTTTGAGGGAGATGATGGTGAGACAAACAAGGAAAAGGACTAGAGTGGTTCCTGACCAACCCTGTGAGGTGCGTAGAACAGAGATCATTAACTCCGTGTTATAGGGGGGCATCGGTGCTCAGAGGCAGACAGTGGCTGGTCCAAGACACACAGAAACTAATAGTGTTACCCACACAACTGGTGGGTTCAATGGCTTGGCGGGTGACTACAACCAAGGAAGATTTAACAGGGGGACTTTACTTGTCACAAGTAAATAGGACACTAGGGACAGTTCCCAAGCAGTGCCTCCCCGAACAACGGTGAACACAGGGCTCTTGGGCTGGTGAGCCCAGCCATTGAATGCAGAGCTGGGGTCAAGGCTGCACAGGCGTGGTGGAGGATCACGCTTCCATCTACATCGCATGCATAGAAAATGGCCAACAAGTTCCTCCCTGGGATTGGGCAGGGTGTGGGGTTAGTACGGTAATGAGGAGAGTTCACCAAAGATCATCTCCAACTCAGGCATCTGTGGGTCCAACTGGGTTTTACTTTTCCAGGGCTGAGCTTCTTTCTGGAAATTTTTTGAAACAGCAAGAACTCAAGGTGCAACAGTCACAAGTGGATACTTTTTCACAGTGTCTCCCCCAAAATCCTAGGCTGCATCCCCCAAACCCAGAAAGCCTAGGTTGCTATAGCAGAGCTAGGGCCACAGCCTCCTCCAAGGGCCTAAAGGTCCTTTCCACATACAGAGAGTGACATGGCCCTTGCACCTAAAGAGGAAAGAAAGTTTTGGATCCAAGAGGTCCCCAGTGCTGGGTCCATGCCTGGCCTGGAAGCCAGGGCATCTGGACTCTCATCCTGCTGCCGCCTGCGGCTCCAGGACTCAGGAGAACAAGCAGGGCTCGGAATCCGCTGATTTGGGGGATTTCTTCTGGATTCTCCTATAACCCCGGAGGAGGCTGCAGATACATCCCAGTGGATAATGCAGGAATGGGCAAAAAGGTTGCTGGGAGCAGGTCCTGCAGGGACCCAGCCTCCTCCCAGAGGCTGGGGCCCCTTGCTTTCCCTTTCTCTCCTTCATTGTTTGCTCGCCCCATCCCTCCCCCTTTTCTCTCTGTTTTTCTTTACCCAGCCACCTGTTCTCAATTCCCCTCTTTGTGGTCTCTGATTTCCTCCAGCTGCTCATTAAATCTCTTTTCTTTCCTGTCTTTCTGCCCCTCCTTCTCTTCTCTCTTCTCCTCTTCCTTCCCCCCTTTCTTTCTCTCCCTCTCTTTCTCTCTTCCTTGATTTTTGTTTCTGCCTGTGCAAAATCTCTCCATCTCTACCTCTTGATCTCTGAGCTCTGCCTCCCTCCCCCCACCCCTCTTGTTCTTTCCCATCTCCTCATCCTCTTCCTGAAGAGTGGGGGCGACTCAGCAGGATCCAGACCTAGTGAGACAAACGCTACCCAGGCTGGTAACCAAGGAAGTGGTTTCCTTAGCAACAGAATCTGCAGGCACGCGCTCCACTGCCCCAGCCCTTAGCTATTACAGTAAGAGAGAAAAGAGAGAGAAAGAGAGAGAGAGAGAGAGAATGGGAAAGGCAAGCCTTAAAACAATAAAGACACTCCTACATGCTCCTAATGAGAGGGGACAGTGCTCAGAGACAAGCTCAGCGCCTGGTACTTTGGGGACACTCAAAAATATGAGAAATATGGGGCTTTGGGATCAGAGAGCAGCATATAGCATGCAGAGAGCTGGGGGAAGAATCTGCAGGACCTGGTGACATACTGAACGTGGAGGTGGGGAGATAACAAAGAAAACAAAGCGGACCCCAAGCTTCTGGCCTGGGCAGCTCCAGGGAGGGAGCAGAGAAGCCAGGGAGGAAGGAAGAAAACATTTTGGGTTGACATGGCTTCGTGTCCCCAAGAGTTCACCACCTAAGTCGGGGTTAGGGGGAGGGAAGGTGTAGAGATGACAGAAATATCTCATTCAATTCTCTCTTATAAATAGGCAACAAGGAACATGGGAGAAGGAACATGTGTAGTTTTAAATTACTTAACTCTGGGAAGTTAAATAATTTGCTCAAGGGACACAAAAGTTGGTGGCAGCACTTGGATTTGAACCTGGGGATGATCCAAGGCCTGTCCAGAGGGTGGAGGGGACAGAAGAAGGTAGAATAAGCAGAGATGGAGAGAGAGGCAGAGAACGGACACAGGGAGAGAAACAGGGAAGGAGAGGTTTAAATCATTGATCTGGCACTTCTTCCCACCGGGAAAACAAAAATATGTTCACTTTTAGAGAAATGAGAGGAGACAAAGGCGCCCCACTGTATGAAAGCTTGGGCGGTTATAAATAACCGTCTCCAAAGAAAACACCTGTCAGGACACATTTGCTTCCAGAGAGACGAATTGTATCCGCGGTCCATGTTGATATTTAAATGACTCAGAGTAGATGCCAGGGGGCGGAGGGCAGAAAGTTGATCAACGTAACAACGGAAACCTAACTTGGCCTTTCCAAAAAGCAATAAAACGGGCAGGCGTGGAGAGCTGTAAATCTGGATGATAATAATAACCGTCCTCGAAAAAGCAACATGTTTATTTATCATGTTTGCAGGTTTACTATTGCTTCTCAAATTTACAGTCAACAATCTGCCAGTGAGCATGGGGAGGAACACGAGAATGAGAACAGACTGGCAGAGCACTGAGGAAGAAATGATAAAATATTTATCCCCTTGCCCCACCCTCCCTGCCACGGCTGCCTTAAATCCAATTTCAAACAAAGGTGGTGACTTATCCAAGCAGGGCTGGGCAGCTCTATTTCAGGCCTCGACAGCTAATTGAAATGAGCCGTCATTATGGAATGGAATGTGTTGCAGCAAAATGATTTTTGTGTATTCTGGACTCATTTGCTAAACAATTATGGAGAAAGGAGAAGTCAGCCAGGGATGAGAGAGAAGGTATAGTACTTGAGGGTGACAAAACTTTTGTGTGTCCTT